CCACTTCAGCTGTAATGGAGGAAGGTAACAGAACAGGAGGAACTTCCCAGGGGTTGGCCCCAAGGAGCTCTGAGAACAGCCCCACATCCTGGGAATGGGCCCTGCAGCTGTGTTTGTACCCATGGCCCTGTCACCTGTCAGAGTTATTTGTACCCGAGTGGGGCAGTTGTCCTAAATTTACTCATCAGATTCAATTAGATATTTCTGATGGGCTGAGATGTTCCTGTTAATCTGAGATGTTTTCTTGTTCTTAGGTAATAAAAACTAAGCATGCCCAGTTGCTCAGTGGTTAGAGCGCCAGCCCTCGGACTGAAGGGTCCCATGTTCAATTCTGGTCAAGGGCATGCACCTCAGTTGCAGGCTCTATCCCTGGCCCCAGTTGGGGCACACGTGGGAGGCAAACAATCGATGTGTCTCTCTCACATCGATGTTTCTTGCTCCCTGTCTCTCCCGGTCCCTTACACTTTTTCTGAAAATCAATGGGGGAAAAATATCCTTGGATGAGGATTAACAAAGAAACAAAAGCAAAACACTAAGCATATGGCAACAGCCTTCTGCTGGGGTCCATCCCCAACAGGTCCAGGGGTCCCCAAAGGCCTGTCTCTCCCGGTCCCTTCCACTTTTTCTGAGAATCAATGGGGGAAAAATATCCTCGGATGAGGATTAACAAAGAAACAACAAAACACTAAGCATATGGCAGCAGCCTTCTCTCACCCATCAAGTGTGCTGAGGGTTCTGCAGAGAAAGCTGATCTTTAGAGAAAAGGAAAAGAATGCTTCCTGTGCAGAAGCAGAGATAAGACACCATGTGTACAGGGGGAGGGAGGAAAGAAAGAGAGAAATATGATTCTCTTTCGGTCCCTGAGAGCTTTCTAGTCTCAGGAATGGGCCCTGGCTACCTCTGGTTGAAGTCCCCTTGAGGCCCAGCTACGTTCCTGTGGGTTCCAGGAGACACCCCTGTATTAGTCTAGTTCATCTCCTTTTCTTGTTTAAGTTTGACCGAGTTGGTTTCTATTTCTTAAAATCACAAGAACCTTAACTGAGGAAGTTCCCATAACTTATCACTGCAAAATATCTCCAGGAAGAGACCTCCCCGTCCTTCCTGCTGCATAGGTTGTGGTCACAGCCAGATTTCTCAGCCTGGCCTGTTTTCAACGTCGTTATGAGGGAAGCCAGAAAATTGGCTCAGGCTCCCATCCCCACATACACTGGCCAATTTTAAGGATGGCCTCTTTAGTAATGACTTTGAGGAAAGCAACAATCATATTAAAATAAACATAATGATTCCAACTTCCTTGGAGGAAACTCTGCTCTTTATGTCCACATCAATTTGCTCTCCTGCTCTGGCAAGGTTCTTCCCTACCATGTCCTTTCTTCTCGTGCTTCCACATCCCTCTGCCTTCCGCACTCTCAGCTGATGAACTTATTTTCTAATCCACTGAGAAAAATCAAATAACCAGAAGACAACTTTTTAAAAAATATATTTTTTATTGATTTCAGAGAGAAAGGGAGAGGGAGGGAGAGAGAGAGACAGATACACCAATGGTGAGAGAGAATCATTGATTGGCTGCCTAATGCATGCCCCACACTGGGGATGGAGCCTGCAACCCAGGCATGTGCCCTGTCCAGGAATTGAACTGTGACCTCCCAGTTCCTAGGTCCACACTCAACCACTGAGCGACACTGGCTGGGCAAGATAACTTTCTGATCCTTCCCTGCAGCGCCAAATGTGCCAAACAACCAGCAGCTGCACCCGCTTCCTCTGCCCCTTTCAGGGCCTCTCAGTGTTGTCCCACAGAGCTCTCTGAGGTGATAGGAATTCCTGAATCTGTGTCTGTTCAATGCAGCATCCACTAGCCACACATGGCTACTGAGTACCTGGAAGACGGCTAGTGCAACTAAGGAACTGCATTTTACATTTTCTTTAATTTTAATTAATTTACATTTAAATAGCCACGTGTGGCTAGTGGCTGCCATGTAGGACAGCGTAGGTATAGAGAACTCTCTTGAGGAGTTTTGCTATAAAGTGAACAAAGAAATGGGGTGGAGAGTCACAGAGGGATAGGAGTCAAATCATCATTTTTTAAAAAGATGAATAAATGATATTTTAGCATGGCTGATGGAAATGATCCAGTAGGGACAGAAAAAAAAAAAGGCAGGAAAAAGAAGAGTCTATTAAAGAAACAAAGTTGGTCCTAGATAGCAGCAGGTCATTGTATATATGACAGCCACTGGCCATGTGTGGCTATTTAAATGCACACTAATTAGAACAATGAAAATTTAAATTTGATTCTCAGTCACATTAGTCACATTTCAGGTAGCTTTATATTGAATGTAATTTCCATCATCAAAGAAAGTTCTATTAGACAGTATTGCTCTACACTTTCTGTCTTCATTTCATAGTTATCATGAAAATATTTTAAGTTTTTAAAACAAAACTTATATATGTGCAAAGTTTAGGGAGCCAAAATCTCTACAATTGATGTTTCATTCCTTTTCCCATTTTCTACTCTCTATTTCTTTTAGCTTAAAAAAAAATATTTGTGTCTGTAATTCTAAATAATTTTCTGGAACTACTTCTTGATTGCTCTCCAAGTTTTGCGCATTTTTATGATTTCTTTACAGACTATGTGGATTTAAGGCTCCCATACTCCTTCCTTATCACACTCACACACGTACCCTTCCTGTCCTCTGTCTCTCAATGGAGTAAAATATTGTGATGGTTAGCTCAGTGTTCAGTGTTTTCATTATTATGAAATGCCATCTGTTAGATTAAACAAAAAGGTCATTAGGTCAAGGTGGCTCTAATGCCATGATGGCTTATATTAGCAAACCAAAATCTAAACCTATCAATGCCTCAAGGTTATGAAATAAAAAAGTTAAGAAAAACCCAATGTCACCCCAATAAATTGAATAAATAAATAAATCTATAATAATAAAAGCATAATATGCTACTTAGACTGTATGTCCTTCCGAACTACCTTCTGGACGAAGCCGGGGCTGCGAGGAAAGCTCGGGTGCCAGAGGGAAGCCGGTGCCAGCAGCTGGGGGAAGGAAGGCCTACTCTTGCACAAATTTTATGCATTGGGCCTCTAGTAAATGAATAAAATGAAATAAAATACTAGTAGAACAGGAAAAAAGAAAAGGCTAAGAACCAATCACAAACAACCAACTAGACTCTAACTACAGCCAGTCAATAATTTCCTTACTTTGCTTCTGCCTTTTCTCTATAAAAGCCTCTCCCCAACTCCTGCTGGTGGAGTGCTCCTAACCACTTCTCAGTTCAAATTGATTTTTGCTCAAATAGACTCTTAAAATGTTTAATATGCTTCAGTTTATCTTTTAGCACACTATTCACAACTGAGCCATGTGATAAGTTACTGTTTCATTAACTTCTAGTTTCCAATGTCTTATTAAAAAGCCCAAAGCTATTCTTACTCTCCATCCTTTGTATATAACCTATTTTTCCATCTCTTTGTGCCGATATGAAATTACTTAATGAGATGCCTTATCATGGATCTATTTTCATCCACTATGCTGGGCTCTCGGTGGGCCTTTGTAATCTAGAAATCATGTGGTTCAACTCTGGGAAATTTTCTTGAATTGTTCTTTTGATCATTGCTTCACTTTCTTTGTTTCTTTTGTTCCCTCTTTCTGGAACTCCTATGATTCAGATGTTAGACATGGACTGATCCTCTGATTTTCTCTCTCTCTTCTATTTCCTTCTCTTTAACTTTTTGCCCTACGTTCCTTCAGTCCTTATACTGAGCTATCATGTTTTTAATTTTTAAGAGCTCCTTTTATTTTATTAATGTTCTCCATTCTTTTTTTTTTTTTTGCAAAATCCTGTTTTTGTTTTGTAAATCCAATATCTTCTCTTATCAATGACAATTGGTTTTTAAAGTTTTTTTCTGAGCCTCCAAATAACTTTTGTTTGATGATTTTATATCTATCTTTCATGCTAGAAACGATCTTCAAATGGATTGCTCTTGCTGGGAAATTAGCCATAGCCTCCTATCTGTGTCTTGATTTCCCCACTTTCTTCAGCCAGTCTCTGCACAGCAGCCAAATGGATCCTCTTACAAACATGAGACAAATTAGGTCTACTCAAATCTCTCTGACAACTTGTAATCACACTGTAAATCCAATATCCTTACCATGGTGTACACGGCCGTCTTTGCTTTGCCCCCTGGCCACCTCATTTTCTACCTTTTCACCCTGGCTCACTGCACATCACCTACACTGCAACCTTGCAGTTCCATTAGTATGTTCCTTTTGGGGGGGTCTTTGCACTTGCTGTTCACTCTGCTTTGAATGCTCGTCTCATAGGTTTTCACAAGGCTCTCTCCTCAGGTCATTCAAATGTCACCTCCCAGAGACTGTCCCTGAACACCTTAGTGGACAGAGTAACTTTTGTCATTCTCTAGACCTTGACTCTGTTTTATTTATTTTCATGGCCCTTCATACTTGGCCTTATGCTATGTATCTATTTGTTTATTCTCTGTGACCTCCATGAAAATGTAAAGACTCAGACTTTTGGTTTTCACTCCACTGTTCCCAGCACCCAGGTCTTGCACATAGTTGACACTCAAAAATTATTTGTCAAATGATTAAAAAGTGAATGAGAGAGTTAATGGGTGAATATAGAAAACTGGAAGCTGAGCCCGTTTTTGCACTGGCATTGGTGGGAAAAGTGAGTTCTGTCCAGGCAAACACTGGGAAATGATGCCAATGCTGGCGTGAATCCATTCTCCCTGGGTCAGCAAATGCTCCTGGGCAATCAGAAGTGAGGTTCTTTCATCGGCTCCTTGGCTCCTTATAATAACCTCTTAGAAGAGCACAAAACAAGTGGTTTCTTTGTTTTTCAAAAATTAATCCTGTTATGATTAGGCGGTAACATGAAGAATCCTTTTTCATCATGGGTCATTGGTATCTTGCCAGAAAATCACTGTGTTGCCACGTCTGTGTTGGTACCACTCTGACTGAGATGAATGGGGTCAACTTCCCTGCTCTTCATTGGACAGAATAAGGTGTTATGACAACAGCTGTTCATCCCTCCCAGTAAACCAAAGATGGTATTCGGTGCTGAGGTCAAGACAAGAACCCAACAGTCCTGAAATGTAATTCTGCTCCATTGTTACAGTCTCCATAGTTGATAAAATCCCACAGATCCTGAAAGTGTACTTAAGTATCAAATCTTCTTAGCTGAAAAAATATATAGGTCTTTGTTTACTATGTAATTCTAGTGATCGCTTTGGGATACATCTAAAACCTGAGACAATATACATTTTCAAAGGTAACTTCTGTATCTTTTGCAAATGTAATTTTTTTATTACTTAAGTAATATATTTTTATTGTAGAAATCTTAGAAAAGATGGTTAAACAAACAGAAGAAAATGGAAAACATCTATAATTCTACTATACCATTAACATTATTTGTATAGACAGCAGATCCTTCTGAGAATAGGTTTGATGTCTGCACAACATTATTAAACAGATAAGCTTCACATTCGGGGGAAAAAAAGAGGAACAAATGTAACCTGAACAATAAAGATTTAATTAAAAAAAAAAAACATTATTTGTATAACTTCCAGATCCTTCTGAGAATAGGTTTGATGTCTGCACAACATTATTAAACAGATAAGCTTCACATTCTTATATTGTGAAGGTCCTTTTCAAAATATGAGTTATATGCAAAAATTTACACTGTTGGAGAGATACCTTTTATCAGCATATTTCTTAGCCATTAATGTCAAACCCACTATTCATGAAAGTTCTGCCATTGAAAATTGCTTTAACTGTTGTTTTTCTTTTAATGAAATAACAAAAACACAGCAAAACAAAAAAGAGTGTGTTCCAAGCTGCTGGTAAGTAGCATCTGTCTACATAAAATAATGGCCAAAACTGGAACCCCAAAGCAACACATGTAGCTGGTAGAATATCTGTGGTTAATAGTGCTTATGTAATCCAAATAAAATTAATGGGTTTTAGGACCAATTCCAGAGATATTTAAGGTCAAATAGAATGAAATGGAAACCAGTGTTCTCTGTATCTGAGAAGATTACTATTGCATATTGCTACTTACCCAGTCTCTCGATTTTTTCCATAATTTGAAGTCCATTTCTTCTCTTTAAAGTGGGGCATTGGAACTAAAACTGTGTACAAGATGAGGGAAAATTACAACAGCCTCATGATTGCAACCCCAAAGTAAACATTACCTTTGTTTAAAAGCAGAATGACAGCCAGAACCAATATTTTCTCCTTATTTATTTTTTAAACAACTAGTAAACCATTTTGAACTAATCTTTTCCCCCCTAAGGAAGTACTGAACCAAAGGGAAACATTCAGATATCACCAGGACTGAATCTAAACTCCTAGATTTTCAATTTCTGCCCTTAGCATCAGTGAGACTACACCTGGGCAGAGAGGAAGGGTTTCTGGGTCCTGCTCTGAGAGTAACTGCTGATCTGCGTGCACCTGGCTGATCACTGCACAGTCTCTGTATCTGCTGCTGCAAAGGCTTTGGGAAGAGGGGGTGGACCATACACACACAGGCTTTCTACCCTCATTGAGCTCATTGTCCAGGAAGAGGTGAACATTAAACAAACAAGTATTTAGTCCCAATTGTGATGAGTTATAAAGGAGAACAAATTATTTATTATTTAAGAAGTGAATAACTGGAGAACTAATCCAGTCTCCAGGCCTCAGGCTCCTGAGGAAGCCTTCTCTCTTGAGCACCAGATCTCTTTACCCAAGTTCCTATAGATGATCTGAGCTTCTGTGACCTAGAGACACTCAAATCTAACATGCCCAAACAGAACTCAGTAACCCCACCCCACCTCCTAAATTTGCTATTCCTCTTAAGTTCCTTTTGTAAATAACTGCACTATCCTCCCAGTTGCCCAGGCCAGAAAACTAAAAATCAGGCTTTATCCTCCCCCTCCCTTCCCCTCCACATCCAATCAAACACTAAATTCTGTTGTTTTGCTTCTTTGACTTAATCCCCATCTTGAGCAGCCACTGACACCATCTTATTGACTTATTTCTTTCCTAAATTATTGTTTCTGATGACTTGTCCTATTGCCAATCTTGTCTCCCACCAATTCATGCTGTGCCCTGCCACAGGGGAAATTTTCTGCCATGCAACATTAGTCACGCTTCTTACTCTCCAGTGGCACCTCTTTGTGGTAGGACATCAAGCTTCTAGGTATGGCCTATGAAGCCATTCAATGTTAAGCCCTTCTCTCAATCCTGTGAAAGGTATTTCTTGCCATTTCTCTTTGTTTTTTCTCCATCTTGCTCTGCCAGCACCATTCACACTAGAGCAAGGATGTGCAAGAAATATGTTGAATACATAGTTCTGAGTCACATTCTCAGAGAAGTAAATTTTTCTTGGTTACTCACGACTCTCATGTTTTTGGGTAAATGGGAGGGTCCTTAGCGCCAGTGTAGCTGATGATGACCTCACTCTGGCTGGGACTTTTCTGAAAGTTTGCCAGTTGGTGGAAGGTGCAGAGCTGTGCCTTCTGAAGGAGCCTATACAGATGTGTGAGAGGAACACCTGTTTTGTTCTAAAGTTCATTGTTTCCGGAGAATTGTTAAGACTTCCGTTTTTAGTCAGAGGATCTGCCTGCCATTGAGAACTTCCCCATATCACTGGGCTTGCCACTGAGATCGTTTCCATAGAGAGACATCATGGCTAGTTTTACATTGGTTTAAAAAGCTTTCAACTAGAGACAACCCTGAGGGAGGACAAACTGGCGGCGGAATAGACAGATGTGTCCCAAGCCTTGTCCCGGAACAGATAGAATGAGCAGCTGAAATGAATAACATCTACCCTGAATTGGTGAAGGACGCTCAGCTGGTGAGACAATTTGCAGCCAGGAAGGGCAGAGGACCCCTGGAGAAAGGTAAAATCAAGGATCTGGGGAGGAGAGATCTGCCAGACCTCTGAGCCCAGAGGGTCAAAGGGAACTGCACGGCACCAAGCTGCATCCCTTGGGACGGGCACAGCATCTGACTGTGGAAAAGAGGTCTGCAGGACTGCTGGTGGCAGGGGATTCTGGATCTGGGTCCACAGTCACGAAAGACTGAGCCCAGAAAAGGGTTAGAAAACCTATTTGAGGAAATAATGTCAGAAAATTTCCCTGATATGGGGAAATTTGGGGACTCTCACACAAGCACAGAGAGTCCCAAACAAGATGAACCCGAAAAGACCCACACCAAGACACATCATAATTACGATGGCAAATGTCCAGGACAAAGAGAGAATCTTAAAGGCTACAAGAGAGAGACAGAAAGTTACGTACGACTTAATCCCCATCTTGAGCAGCCACTGACACCATCTTATTGACTTATTTCTTTCCTAAATTATTGTTTCTGATGACTTGTCCTATTGCCAATCTTGTCTCCCACCAATTCATGCTGTGCCCTGCCACAGGGGAAATTTTCTGCCATGCAACTGCAGTCACACTTCTTACTCTCCAGTGGCGCCTCTCTGTGGTAGGACATCAAGCTTCTAGGTATGGCTTATGAAGCCATTCAATGCTAAGCCCTTCTCTCAATCCTGTGAAAGGTATTTCTTGCCATTTCACTTTGTTTTGTCTCCATCTTGCTCTGCCAGCACCATTCACACTAGAGCAAGGATGTGCAAGAAATATGTTGAATACATAGTTCTGAGTCACATTCTCAGAGAAGTATATTTTTCTTGGTTACTCACGACTCTCATGTTTTTGGGTAAATGGGAGGGTCCTTAGCGCCAGTGTAGCTGATGATGACCTCACTCTGGCTGGGACTTTTCTGAAAGTTTGCCAGTTGGTGGAAGGTGCAGAGCTGTGCCTTCTGAAGGAGCCTATACAGATGTGTGAGAGGAACACCTGTTTTGTTCTAAAGTTCATTGTTTCCGGAGAATTGTTAAGACTTCCGTTTTTAGTCAGAGGATCTGCCTGCCATTGAGAACTTCCCCATATCACTGGGCTTGCCACTGAGATCGTTTCCATAGAGAGACATCATGGCTAGTTTCACATTGGTTTAAAAAGCTTTAGGACAAAATGGCGGAATAGACAGATGTGTCCCAAGCCTTGTCCCGGAACAGATAGAATGAGCAGCTGAAATGAATAACATCTACCCCGACGAATTGAAGGATGCTCAGCTGGTGAGACAATTTGCAGCCAGGAAGGGCAGAGGACCCCTGGAGAAAGGTAAAATACAGGATCTGAGGAGGAGAGATCTGCCAGACCTCTGAGCCCAGAGGGTCAAAGGGAACTGCACGGCACCAAGCTGCATCCCTTGGGACGGGCACAGCATCTGACTGTGGAAAAGAGGTCTGCAGGACTGCTGGTGGCAGGGGATTCTGGATCTGGGTCCACAGTCACGAAAGACTGAGCCCAGAAAAGGGTTAGAAAACCTATTTGAGGAAATAATGTCAGAAAATTTCCCTGATATGGGGAAATTTGGGGACTCTCACACAAGCACAGAGAGTCCCAAACAAGATGAACCCGAAAAGACCCACACCAAGACA